TGCAGATGCTTCGACGATGTCTAGGGATTTGATTTGTATACAATTGGTGGATGGTGGCTAGCAGTGGAATCCAGGATGCGCATTTCGTCCTATTTGGGACTCGTCAGCTGGATGTACCTGCATTTCTCAGTGAGTGATGACGTTCCCACCGAGGCTCGTACCCAGTACCCATAGTTTCAAACGGCAAAGCATTATCCACTAGACCGATTCAATAATTAATATGACCCGTTGCACAAGAGGGGGCTCTCGTGACCCAAGTGGTCTAGTGGATAACGCTTTGGCGTTTGAAACTATGGGTACTGGGTTCGAGCCTCGGTGGGAACATCATCACTCACTGAGAAATGCAGGTACATCCAGCTGACGAGTCCCAAATAGGACGAAATGCGCTTTATCCTGGATTCCACTGCTAGCCACCATCTATCAATTGTAAACCTCTGTTATGTTAATTTCGATTAATTTCTCTGAAGAAGTTTGGACCAGTTTGCCGAACGAAATTTAAGTTGGTTTACAAATGTATGCTTCTCACTTGGCACCCAATTATTTTGGAACTATACGGTCAAATCTTGATCACAGGTCATATGAATGAATATCCATATTGAACGGAATATATGCACTGTACTCAGTGCAATAAACAAGAACTCGATCATTAAATTTATTTTCAAGTCAATGCTTTTGTATACTCCAGATATTTGGCGTTCACTGAAAAGTGTTTCCGACAGTCTGAAGACTTTTATCAATAGCTGCCTATACTGACGGTCAGATGGCCAGAAAAAATCGGCACAAGAAAACTGTGCGAACGAACCAATCAGGAAGCTTGTGTCCAACAAATATTCTGAAGAAAATTGAGTTGGGGCGGATATACTCTGAGGAGATCGCTGGTTGACATGATGTGACAGGCCCCAAAGTGGAACGCGACTGAGACATGACGAGTGGGACGTTGACATGGAGTAGGTAGTGTAAGGAGTAGAAGAAAGCTTATGGGCAATCGTGAACTTAAAATGTTGATAAACTTTCCACTTCCAAATCTTTTTACTATTTTCTTCTACGTAATGATCAATGGGGTCTATATATACAATATACTCTAAATTTAAACGGTGACATAAATTTCATGGGAAACTGATTATTATTATTATTTCCTTTAATTCCTAGAGCAACATGGGGCTTCAGCCGCGCTTCTCCATTAGGTCCGGTTCTCCACCAACGTTTTCACCTGGCTCCAAGTCTGCCCACACGCTTTCATCTCCTCTTCACATGATATCCAAGTCACCCTGGCACTGGCAACCAACTCGCCGCTTCCCGTTCGGGTTCCACTCGAGCAATGGCCTGTCGTGTGATGTCACTCACTTGTTTGTGTACTCAGAGTATGGCCAATCCACCTACATTTCTTCCTGCACATTTGTTGCATAATCAGTTCCTGCTCGGTTGGTTCGTTCATTGCTAGAAATCTCTATTGCTGATCTTTTCTGATTGGGTATCTGATCTTGAGCGGAGTATTGAGTGAAGACAGCTGTTGATGAATGTCTGTAGTTTGTTTGAGGTGTTCTTCATGAAGCGCCAAGTCTCTTATCCGTTTAGTAAGTAACACTGACTTCTCATTGGAGTCGAAAATCCCAATCTTGTTTTCATTCTGAGTGGTGTTGATCGCCACACAGACTTGAGAGAAATGAAAGCTTGTCTTGCTTTCCCGATCCTTGCTGCTTTGATATCCTGATCAGTTTGGACGACCTGTAGTTGAAACGATGCTTCTCATGTGGATAGGAAAAGGAGGTTGTTTCTTTCAGGTTCCTCCCGTTCATGCTGGCTGATTGTTGTCTTTTGTTGTTGCTGTTGGTGTTGGCCAGGAATCTTCATCACCTCTGTTTTCTCTATGTTCACCTCAAGGCCTATCTTTGATGCTTGTTCTGCCAACTTGTTGCTTTTCACTTGCATGTCTCCCGGTTTGTCAGAAATCAGATATATAGTATAGGCAAAGTCCAGATCCTCCAAGTTTTATGTGTGGGTCCATTCAGCGAACTAACCAACAACTTATTTCTTCACACATACGCAAAATAAAATGGAAATATCATACATTTATTCCCCTTAATGAATTTGAACAATACAAGAACTACAGTTTTAGCAAAATAAAATGGTACCATCTTTCATTTCGTTGCCTTCTCGTCAGCTGCTTACATGGCAAAGACATTATTAAATATATCTACAACAACAATTTTAACATACTTGCACAGAGTTCAGTTTAAACAAAAATCAATCGATCAATATACTCATACACTAAAAATATATACATATATAAATATGCAATATTAACCACTATTCCGAACAATAATAATCAAACACAATGGAAACTTTTAGCATTTCACATTCGGAGGAAAGAGAGGTGAAATTATCCAGTTACCAGGGCAAAGAAAGGCTGATAACCGCTTCTTTCTGGACGCGTAAATCAGGTTTCAGGCGCTTGATGGAAATGGCTTCAGCAAACTTAAGGAGAATTGAGCTATTTTGCTTATTGATAATTTTGAATGACTTTTCAACGTCCACCTCATGACCCGTGTCGAGAAAATGCCTGGTGATGGCACTGTTTAAAGCATTTGTTCCCTTTAGACGTAAGCTTTTTGGTACATGTTCAGAAAATCGTAGATATGCCCTTCTTTCTGTCCTTCCAATGTAACTGCTCCCGCGGATACATATAAATTTGTATACACAGTTGGAGGTAACATGAGAAGGATATCTATCGATTTTTGATTGCACCAAAGAGCAAGTTGTTCGATAGACGGGAACGAGCTTAGCTGCAGGATACGCTATGGCTTGTGATGTACTCAGCCTTCTGTTGATCATCGCTGCAATAAATTGACGGTATTCTGAAGACACTGTTAAGAGATATCAAACCCCAGACTGTCGACAAAAACCTGAATGGAAACTGACCAGTTAGGTGTCAATGGGATGACAGAGAGGAAAATATTCCCGGTGGAAATGACAGCAGATAACTGAGTGGAATTAAAATATACAGCTGGAGTCGATGCTCCATTCAGAACTCAAGGAGTGAATAATAATGTAATAATGAGTAGTCTGAAAAATACACTTTTACTTAAATTGATAACCAACCAAGATAAATAGTAACAGAGAAAAAGATTCTTTCATATAGTGAAAGCTGCGGCTTGTCGCCATTTACTCAATACATCATATCATTGATGGCTTGTAAATCCTCCTGAACAACCCCTAATCTCATTATCATCCTGATATAACTTGCTTGATGCTTACTCGCATTTCACGCTTGAGTCATCTATTATTACTATTGCTATTATTCAAAGATTGAAGAAAATCGCCATCTAATAATTCGCACTTCATCGTGACAGCATATCTCTTAGTTTATCGAGCCCACCAGAAACTTAACTAATAGAATTCAACTGTTGGTTTGCGGAAATATGATTGGTTACAGGATTTATCATCAGCTGACATCAGTTGGAGAACCACTGAAAAACTAGGGAGCACTGAACAGCAGTTTTGTGCCCCTCCAGATGTGTACTGATGAAGAGTCCCAAACTAGGATGAAACAGCTGTCCAGTACTCCCAGGTTTTCCTATGGTTGTCTAACTGATGTCAGTTAGTCGGCGAAGTTCAACAATGGCGTCCCAAGAGTGTGAATGCTCCAATGACCTTGAACGCATGCTAGTCGTTGGCTATCATAGCTAAAATATCAACGCTATTCACCAACTTAGGAGCAAGTTGCCCCCAGATCACGTTTTTAAGTACTGTTTCGACAATGCATTAATAGCTTGTTAGAGTTAGGATTAGGGTTAAGGTGAGTATTGTTGTTAGGGTTAGGATCAGGGTTAGGATTAAGGTTTAGGTTTAGTATTAGGGTCGGGATTGAGCTTATGATTACAATCAGGGATGAATTTATAGTTGATGTCATTTATTTTAATGTTTTTTATTATCCACGTTTTCCTAGTAAGTAGTCGTCTATCCTCTTACTGAAAACCATAATAATTCAACCGAGGGCTTTATTGGAAGACTGCAAGCAGGATGAGAGAGATAAACGTTTCACAGAAACAGTTTATCTGTAGTCATCTCGGTGAATACATGTACAGAAACTAGTCCAACTTAGCAACTGATACTCCTCGTTACAACTGGGACGTATTTTTAAGCCATGTCAGAGAAAGATAACCTGTTTAATGCGTTTTCAAGCATTTCCTTGTCAATATACATCATTTTCATGATTGGTCAGCTGAAGGTCACTCATGCGTTCGCACTCCTGGGACGCTATTGTTGAACTTTACCAGTTAGTCATCAATTCCGATAGAATCCTGCCAGTACCAACCTTAACTATTAAATGTATGCTACTGGTTACTCCTCAATAACCAAGCAATATGTGCATGATTGATCTGCATATGATGGTCAGTGGGTTAATGTATGTAAAAACTGACATTCGCCTGTCAAAATGCAGTGACAATTTTTTAACTTTCAACCCCTTATATTTATTATATTCTACAATAGACTAACATGTGTGTTAGTGGCACAGTGGTAGAATGCTCGCCAGCGACTCAGGTAGTTAGGAGTTCGATCTCCAGCCGATGCAATCCTTTACCTCACTAAGCCGGTGATAAGACTGGTAAAAAAGGAAGGTTGGGCATAGGGCTAAAAACCTCACTGTTATTGAAATTTCAAAGGTACTGTAGCTTGATGCCCTATGTTCCACTAAGAATGTGAAGTAATACGCATAATAGATTAACAGCGTCTATGACCTCCTATTCATAATAAATGCGAATTGGTTACATAGTGGTTACACTTGTTAATTAGCGTATTTTCTTGTGTTCCCAATAAACGTCAGTAAAAATAACTCTCAAGATATTTAAAGAGACTGTAAGTACAAAATTATTGTTTTGTTTTTATTCACGTAGTAAATTTCACGTGTTGCTAATTCATCAGTTTCATAAAGTATATTGAGAATATAATTTTATAACTTCTGATATAAATTTAATTGATTTCAACTCGCCTGCATACATATTTTGCACTATTCCAGGTGTATTTGAATACTTTCGACCTATTTTTTTTTGAATTTTCCACACACATATTAAGATTTATGCAGTCTTGGTAAATTCAAAGAAGTACTTCCTTTATTTGTCTGTAGTTTTTCTTTCATTGTTTTAATTATTTTCTGTTTTTGATCAATTACCGGTAAATTTAAATTGGTCGATGTGAATGGAGTGTGAAAAGTGTGATTATGACGATGAAGTTGTTGGTGGTGGTTATGGTTGTGATAACAATGGCGATGATGATGATGATGCTGATGAGGATGATTATGAAGGTGATGAGGATATAAATAATCATTAGGACGGCGATGAGTATAACGATTACAAGAATTTTGTGGAATATAGCCTTTTCGAGGTATACTATCTGGATTTTGATCATTTTGAGGATAATTCAATTTTGTCTGTTGGATCGTATTAGTCTGTTCAAGTTGTAAATTCTCATTTAGCTGTTCATCACACACATTGCATTGACTACTATTTTCCTCATCTAAATAGTCAGATGAATTTGACTTTTCTCCTACAGAACTTGTTTTAGGATGAATTAGCTGATTATTTAACGTTAAATCGGTTTCTCTGTTCTCCACTTGTAAATTACTAGCGTTGTGTCGTTGTTCTTGTTGTTGTATGTTATCCGTGGAATCATAATTTGTAATTTCTCGTCTTGGTGGTGTTGTTGACTGTGGTGGTGGTGATGAGGATGATGTCGGTGGACGTTTAACACTCAGCAATTCCACTGTTGATGACAATGAAATATGATTTGGATTTTTTTGTCTTGTTAGAACTATATTTTCCAGTTGTTTTAAGTATTCGATCAGTTCACCATCTTCACAGTGGCACTTATTTCGTAAATTATCAACGTTTGGTAATTGTCCATAAGAATAGGGTGATTTATTTTGAGGACTTCTTTTAAACAATGCAAACTTTTTAGCTTTCGGAGAAGATGTTTTCTTCTCTTTCTTTTTACAGCATGGCTTATCGTCTACAGCTGAACTTCTACAACATGGAGTCATGAGACAACACTGCCTTTTTGTACAAGGCTTTGAGTGACCACATTTAGAAGGTCGCAGGGAATGAGGTGACAACTTTGCACATCTCCATGAACACTTAGGTTTAGAACGCCTAGGTTTTATATCATCACGAACTTGAATTAATTCATTCTTAGGTGTTTCATATTTTTTCGGTAACTGGTCAAGTATTTGTGGATTGGGTAGACATGATGAGTATATAGGCATTCCTTCGGCTATAGAAGCTCCTTTTCCTGTTGAAATGGCATTGATAGGTGTTTTATGCGTTATTTCAATGCATATTTCCCCTTCTACAGAACTTTTTGATGAATTCGGATGGTGTATTACATGCTTATTGACTAAGCGTGCAACGCCTTTTTCATCTCGGCTTACAAACATTTGTGCTTCAACTATAGGACCGGATTTTAAACTACAGAATGTTGGAATACAGCTATGATTGTTGTTTCTAATAGGTCTACTTGATCCTGCAACATCTGAAATCGGTCTCCATTCTACTTCCGTTTTCTTTGGCTTTTCAATAACTGTACTAGTTGCAAAAGCTGGTTCAGGTAACGGAGTCGATAAATCAGTTGAGAAAGATTTATGTAAATTACGATCCACTCCTGGTGCAGAAATATTATCCAATCTTTGATTACTAGTATTTTCCTCCCTTCTATACGGTTGTAATTGTAGATTTGCTTCTGTTAATGACCGGAGGAGTACACTTTTCCCACTTTTATTTTGTGAAAAAGCTTGATGATGAAAATTAAAATTACTAGATGGAGATTCAGGTACACCTAAAATTGTATGCGTAACTGGTGTAATCCATATATTGTTATTTTTGTTAGAAATAAATTTCCTAGAATCTCCAGGGTTTGGTGGAACAAACTTGCAAACAGAACAACCCATTCCTTGATGGGATTACATTATTATTCCTCTCAAGATGTGTGTGTGTGTGTGTGTGTAATTATTGACTTTTATTTTCGCACAGCATTCAAATCATTAATAATCCATATCATGTGATCATAATAATCATAAACAATAAGTGTATTCATCTATAACGTCTTCCTGACAAAAGTCATATTACTGGTGAATGTGTTGCACTAATCTTGTATGTTACCTGCAACTAATTCTATATCCTGCTATATCTTTTGACGCTTTTGATGACGGCCAATAGAAAGATAAAGGATTTAAATCCCGTCATATCCGTAAATTGTCATTCACATTTATTTCCATTCAAGTCAGTCATATTTTCAATGCAATTTCAAGCCGTCACTGTCGTTTCAATAGACATAGTATTGTCAATAAAATTACCAATTCATAAATCTTAGATTATTGATATCACTTGTTGCTTGTCTATACCCTGAACTTCAAGATGTTGACACCAGGTAAGCAAGTTGATTTAATGTATAGCATCCTGCTCAGAAACGCTTCTATGCAAGAATCTTCAATCAGTACAATAGTGTCTTACATGGATTAAATTAAAACCTTAGAATACTAGGATATTATAATGAAGTTTATGGTTGAATGAAGAACAACTATTATTCGTGTTTATCAAGTGCTCATTCTTATTCCTTACTTTTGTGTCTGCTTCAGTGAGGAAAACGAGATAGAAAAGCGCGAGGTTAAGCAACATTCACCCTTTCATAAATGCCAGAAACTTTTTTTTCAATATAATAATATAAGATAACGTAGGCAGCCTAGAAAATGGAGAGTTGAAAAAGAAAAGTTCCATTAATAGACACAGATTCAGAAAATGAGATTTGTTGGCTTTCGAATTAATTTCACTTGTTAGATTTCTTCATGAACCAGCACCAATTAAAAGGAGCACAGGTGTTTCATCCCAGCTTTGAACTCGTCAGTAACGCGCACTCACCACCCCCACCAGGGATTGAGCCCATAATCTTCGGGTTGTGGTACCAAACTCGTTGACTATTGATCCGTGAATATCTATTTATGATATACCTCTACCATCAACCAATGCCTCCGATAAGCATCAACCTCATTTTGACATGGTGGAACCCACTGGCCACGAATTCTCATTAAAGCTTCAAGAAATCCATCGAGCAGCCATCAGTCAGCTGAAGATTGATATTTAGACCTGGAGATTTGTGGGGATTTTGGATTAAATTTCAGTTGGGAGATTTTGTCTCCAACTGATTTTTGGTTCCTGATGAAATCTAACAATTCAGATGGAGGTTTATCGGTTGACCAAATCTATTTATATATAATAATAAAGTTATATCAGTTGATTAATGAATGATAGTAGTATTTGTAAAATAAAAAATAGTTAACAATTCCTGAATATGAAACGGTTAGTCGAATAATGTTGAAGGATTGAAATAAAAATCTTTTTGTCAACCAAGTAAACTACAACAAACACTGGATGTAAAAGGGCATTTTTGTCTTTAAAGCTTTGATGCATATAGGTACAAAAGATCTTACCAGTGTAAAAAAAACCTAACGAGAAGTGAATGAAACATGTGTTAAGTTATATTGCTTACATATTGCTTTGTGAAACTTGACTAGTGACACAAGCTTGGAAGCATTACTCAACTACTGAAATAAGAACAGCACACAGTGACATTTGATAACGGAACTATCAGTCTGTCTAAGTCGAAAAAATTTAATCTCATAAATCTTCTAAATAGCCTATGAAATACAGCCTAATTAGTGTTAGGATGACGAGGATGGACGAAATCTGTGAGTTCAAAAATGGCTAATTACAAGCAATCAAGTGAGTGAAACCAACCTAATAAACCGAGTTCAAGCAGATCAAGGAAAATTAATTCAAAGTTATATCGTCATAACTTTCTTACCCTTGAAATCAAATGACTGTATAAATAAGAATATACATATATATATATTTCATTCATTACTTTCCAAGTGGAACTCAGAGCTACCATATTTGAGGAATCACTAGCTGTGGTATTCCTTTTACGGAGTGGAGTTGTTAGGGTTACCCACAATCTTCTCTCTTTTTGGCTTTCCTACCGGCTTCTAAACCAAGTAAGGTTAAGGGAGGCTGTGGTGATTGACAATTTCTATCTCTGTATTGTTTAAATACTTACTGTTGATTGTTAATATGTTTCTTATATGAATTGCATAATAATTCCGCTAAATACAAATTCCTGAGTTCTACCCTCTCTGTGTTTTGTTTGGATTCTTGTAATTCGGTCATCTCGAAATACTAATATTACGATTACAATAAATTACTACAGAGGCCTATGCCGTGAAATGAACCCTGACCGAATGGGTGATTGGTAAGCATTCTACCATTTAACGGAAATTATCATTGACTATTAAATATCTTAATGTAGAGCCATACTCTACCAACAGAAATGATCAGGCACTTAAATAGATACTCAACAGGTCCTAGACGATAAAAACACAGTTTCAACAGAACCCCGGGTATTGTCTTCAAATGAACTAAAATTTTCAGTTTACATATATGCAACAACTAGTACTAAACCACAATTACTAATATTTAAATGTTGTTATCTCCTCTAACAAAAGTTTAATGATCAAATTTAATAAATTCAATGAATAATGTGAACATTTACATGATAGGAAATAAAAATGGACGCCTAGAAGTTTATATTTCTTAGAGCACAGAATATTTCTTTTGCAAGTTGTCACACAATAATGAGAGAAACCATGAAGAAGAAAGTTTTTTGTGCTGATAAACAATTTCTGTCACTGTTTTGTTTAAATGTTCACTGATGTTTGTTTATATTTATTGTAATCATACAATGCGAATAATTCTGCTAAATACGAATTTCTGACTTTTGCCCTTTCTGTGCTTTTCTACAATTACAAAATAAGCATTTTGGCGTCACGAGGAGGATTAAGCAATCTTGAAGAGTGTCCCAGCAACAGTTCATCACAGAAAATGGTTGATTACCTTGAATGCTCTGATGCAAGGTGTTTGTGGAAGAATGCGTGAGATAGTAAAATTCCAGCTCATTTTATTACTGCGATCGGACTAGATGAATTCTGTCTATCGAAAACTGTAACATTTCCAGATAAGCCAATAGTTCGATTCTTATATAGCCTTCCAAGATGATTCATTTTCTAAAACATGGAAAACTGGTGACGCTAAACTACAGCAGCCCAAAAACGAAACTACTTCAAGCGGCTAATCAGATTCGCAGGAAGTAAAAGTGCGTAATTTGAAATAAACATCTACATACAAGTAATGCACTGTTAAAAAATAACTACACAGGATAGTATTCTTGTATATGTTAAAAAAAAGCTCCCAATTTCTCACGGGAGTTTTCGTAGTCAGGTTAAATCGATTGCTGTAAATAAATTCGTCAAGGTCATCAATCCGTTCGTTAGGTGGTTTTATTTTGGGCTGCTATAGTTTAGAGTCACCGGAAAACTTTATTCCAAGATGACATAATCGAACAGTCAAATCTAGTTTTGTATTACTTGATATGAAATGTATTCGAAAATATACATGAAGTTGAAGATCTGTCAGTACACAACTATCTTTTATCTGTTAGATACGTTAGCTAAGACAATGTGTAGAGTGTGAGTTAACGTTACTTAATCGATTTATTCAATAAAGTAGTGATAGAGTATTAGTTACTGGTTTAATTTTCAGGACAATCTTATTGACAATTTAGGTCAAATTATTTGATTTCGCCTAGCTCATTAGTACTTTTAGTAGCTACATATAAAAGATAAATAACGGTTTATTCAGATTTATATCTAAAAGTGAAGATAAACCCCACTGTCACCAGATAAGCTAAACATTAGGAAAGGTGGAAAGATATTTAAAAAGCATTCAACTATGAAATCTGTGTTCTTAGTAGTCCTCTAGGTAACAATCCCCATTCAAGTAAATCTATATGTGAATAAAAAACTACAAATGGAGTGAACTTTACTCCCATTGCTAGACACTACTGGTTGGCACCCGTTGGATGTTAATGAATATTTTGCAATGCGCTAATCTACACACACTTTTTTGGTTTAGACATAAATTGGTTTCGGTATTACTGTTCACTCATTACTTACATTAAAGTTCAGGACGATTTGAAGCTAAAATAAATCTTTAGATACTGATTGAAAATGTCAAATAGGTGCTTCATGAAAGTTGAATCATCTTTTACACATAATAAATATATATTTCCGAAAGTGATATTCAGTAGAAACCGTGAATATTGAGACAAAAACTTGAAATTTCAACTGCATTTTAATTATTTATTTTTTACTTTATTTATTTTTGATTACAGCTTGATTCCACACTGTATTTTTGGTACTAGTATGGAATTTTCAGCATGGATATCGGTAGCCCAAATTTTTCAGGCCGGCCATAGATATGCCTAGACATCGTCGAAGCATCTGCACAAGAAGCCGACATGTCAACCTGAGACCGAGCACATCGGTCCAATCAATCGACGGGAAGGTCTAAAATTCAATTCAATAATTAATATGACCCGTTGCACAAGAGGTGGCTCTCGTCGCCCAAGTGGTCTAGTGGATAACGCTTTGGCGTTTGAAACTATGGGTACTGGGTTCGAGCCTCGGTGGGAACATCATCACTCACTGAGAAATGCAGGTACATCCAGATGAAGAGTCCCAAATAGGACAAAATGCGACTTGTTCCAACACCCAATGGATTCGCGGAAACTGCCAAGGGAGTAGAAAAGAACCACTCTTTCTCCTGTCTTCAAGGCTGAGGATAGGCAAAATACCACTAGTAATAAACCAGTGCCCCTACTCTCTATGGTATCAAAAAAGTACTGGAAAGTATTATTGATGATCACATCAGGGAGCACCTCGATAGGACTAAGAGACTCCATGAAGGCTGACACGGTGTCATGAAAGGCAGATCTTGCGTTACTAACCTACTATCAGCTTGGGACGAGTGGACATCATGCTGGGATATGAATGTTCCAGTCCATGTGGTCTTCCTAGA